CTTTTGTGCTATCCTGATTACTGTAGATGTATGACCATTCTTCTGAAGAATGACTTTAACAAGTTATAGATTTTTTTAAACTTTTTATAAGTTATTATTTAATCTTTTAAATACAGGTATTTACGCGGCAAAGCTCTCAAACTCTAAACAAATATTTTCGCAAATATTAGTGCATATCCAAAAATTCACAAAGGCTGTCATGAAAATTAAAGTCACTTTTTATTTTCAGCTTTAAAAGGATCTGAATGTAAACTAAACACTTTCTATCATATCAATGTTTCTTTATTTACAATAAAAATTATTTATATTTGAATATTCCCTCAAAAAATTAAAAATAAAACGCAAATATCGATATCATTAATAATGTTTGTTGATTATTTTTTGATAAATTTTATTAACTATCATTTTTATGAGTCAAATCGTTTTTAGCGTTTTAATCGTTTTTAGCGTTTTAAAGGTTTGAATCAGATAACGTTTTAACAGCTTGTTTGCGCGTATTTATTTCTTTTCTTAAATAATAACTTGAACTTCTTATTATCTCTACAACTCAACTTAACAGATTACTTGAACAAGAGATTTATTAACCTGTAAACATTTAAAAAAAAATGTCTCTATAATTACGTCTATGCCCATTATTTTCATTTTTTCCTGAAAAACACTATATCAACTCAACCTTAACTTATTTGATTATTAATTTATTGTTTTTTTCTTCTTTTTTCTAAAATAAATTAAAAATTGATTTTTATGACTTTGTTTTTTGGTTTTATAAAAATTACCATTAATATATTTAATGTCTGCTATTTAAAAACATTTTAACTGTGTTTTAGAGTTTTGACATTCCCTCCACGGTATTCAACTCAACTGCAAAAAAAATGTTCGTCGAATTACTTTTGTCTTATTTATTTATGATAAACTTTATATAATATTGTTATTTGAATTACGAATTTATATGAAAAATAATAATAAATCAGTACTTTATTTGTGTCAAGTTAATCGCGCTATTAAAGTGGTTTTATTTGCCGTTCTCAGTAATAAAATAAACCTATTCTCCTCAGGTGGTCGCTCTGTTTGCAATTGTAATAGCGTTAATTAACTAAAGCCAATAATTCATTTGCCACGTTTAATTATATTTATAATAGCGCAGTAATTAATTTGTTTATTAAATTAACATGAAATGAAAATTTGAAAAAAACAAAACAATGTCGTAATAATATCTAGCGAGAACATAAATTTCGTAAGAATATATATATAAAAGTGACATAAAAAAACACTCGATACTTTTATACATAAATACAAAAATATTAAAAAAAAAATACTGTTTTCATAAATGCATAAGATGTGAATCAGATATACTGATATATATTACCATATGTAACAAGCTTCATATTCATTTTCAGATGAATTTAAAAATATAAAATATGTCTTCAAAAGATAAAATAATTTTTTTTAGTTTTGTATTGAATAAAAGATAATTCCTTCAAGTAAAAAATCAAAATTTCTAGGGTTCCAAGGAAAAACTCTTCGAAATAAAATGCATGATTTTCCGAACTTAGAGAAAAAGATTGCCGAATCAGATTGCCATTTTGCAAGATATATTTATTTTTATCTTTTAAGGTAAATAGATTAAAAAAAACAAAACAAAAAAAAACAGGAGATTTGTTGGTTTTAAATTTGTACATAAAACAAAATATATCAAAAATATTCAGCTGATAAAAAATACGATTTTTTATTTGAAATAATAATAGTTTGAAATGAATAAATTGATCATTACATTTGATAAGACGTGCAAAATACTTCTGCGATAAAGTAGTAGCAGTATAGATTTATTGGTATTACCCAAAAAAATATAAGCATAATTTATATGGTAATGGATTAAAGAAAAATATAATTATGTTAAACTCTGTTTATTTGAAGAATTTCTAGCTTTGTACATTACTCCTATATTTCTAGCAACTTTGTGCACGACAAATTAAGTGATACTTCGAACTAAGTTTTTCATCAATATTAAATCCTTGAATGTTAGAAGTCAGTTTTCTTTTTAAATGAATTTCGTCAATAGAAAGTAAATTAATGACAGAAGGCAGTAGCTTTTTTTTTTGAAGTCTTATAAAAAAGTATTCATTTAGTATGTCAACATTTAGTGAGCGCTTGATCATTTTAAATAAGTGAGAAACTTTTTTTAATTCAATGTTTTTATTCTGAAATAATATTATTATGTTGTTATGAGATAAAAAGAGATTTGTTTCGTCGGCAAACATGATTGTCGTTAACTTTGAGGCTTAAGGGAGACCATTAATGTAAATTAGAAAGGGAAGAGGTCATAGTATAGAACCTTGAGTGACCCCACATGTTATGTCTAATAAATTAGTATAAAAAAAAATTGTATTGTTGTAAACAAACTGTTTACAGTTGCTTAAGTAATTTTTAGGTATTAATAAAAAATTTTCTTTAGTTCCATATTATTCTATTTTTTTAAATTAAGTTTTGCGGTCAAGGGTATCAAAGGCTTTTGATAAATCAATAAAAAGACCAACGTATATTGACATATTTTAAAAGATTCAGTAATATTGCGGGTATATCGTTATCGGTTAAATGACTTTTTTTAAATCACTTCTTATTTTAATGCAATATTTTGTTTGAATATCAGCAACTAAAAACTAAATGTACATAAAATAATTTTAAAATCTATTAAAACTATTTTATTTTTTCAAGTTTTGTTAGGTTTAGTTTTTTGTATTAAAAAACTTTATTTTAAACTTTGCCCCTAGCAACACGACAATTTAAGCTAGCATTTGACAATAACGTAAGCTGAAAGGTGATCACTTAAGTCGGTAGAACTAAGCGCGCTTTTCTGAACTTCACTTTAAAAAAATTTTCATTTTCAATTTAAATGTATCTTTTAGGCAATTTTTAGATATTACAAACGTTTCTCAAAATCACTTAATAAATAAACATTTGTAAGATGATTCTGAAGTTTTGATAAAGTTTTTCAAGAATGCAATATTTAGGAATTTTTTCTTTCTTTTCAAAAACTAATGTATTTCTTTTATGTATAAAAAAATTCAAGGACTGGTCATTAAAAAAATAATAAAATATAATATTTATTTTTTGCAATTTAATAAAAAACTACGCAAAATGTTTAGGCGTCTATTTCTTAAACAGTAAACATTTTTTAAAGTGTTGACATGCTGTTTTGAAAATAATACAAACTATTGAAATTAAGTTTTAGTTATTTACCAACTGGTATGAAGTAATAAAAAGTTGTCTATTTTGCTGAACAAAAAGATGAAAGTTGAACAAAAAGATGAAATGCTGAATAAAAAGATATAAGTAATGTCATACATAACTGGAATTAGCCAGTTATAAGCTTCAGGTTTTACTATTTTAATCCACTAAAAGCTTTCCTGTATATTTTAATGTTTAAGTGTAAATAGAAGCTTAAGTTCTTTGTAAAAATATTTTTCAAAGCACAAAAGAGAATAACAAAATTAAAAAGCACTAAATTAGGATAAAAATTTAAATTGAACTTACGGGCTAATGACAAAAAAATTGACTGCTGCGTTATACTTTTATAAAATTGTATCTATAATACATCTATAAAATGACCTACTTGCTTCAAAGACACCGAAAACATATAAATAACATGGTATTTCTACACAGCATCATCACATTTATTTGTATTACATCCAAGATTCAGGTATGAAATTTGAAGGTTTTCTGTTTTTATTAACTTAAAGATTTTATTAACATAAATAGTCCGATGAATTTCTAGATTATCGACTTTTTTTTTTAGACTGTGTTTTTTTCTGAATTAAAGTAATTCAAAGCAGAAATGAAACTAATAATTGTGCTTGTAATGATGTTGGTTTGTGTGTACAGCATGAGTATTGAAAAGAATATACCTAAGAATCACGAAGTACCAGCCAAAAAACAATTTGCAGGTATAATGCTTTTGCGTATCAGCAAAAATCATACTCATTTTTGCTGATACCAATTAAGGTTACTGAGAACACTTGCTTTTTTCCTAAGTAAGGGTTTTCTGCCGCAATGAGCAAACTTGTTAATAAATTAATAAAATAAACTGGAACAAATAATATTTATTTGCGATATACAACACAATAATACAAGATAATAATAAAACGGAATACAATTATAAGGCTTTTGTAATTTTGATCTTTTTAGTTGAAAGATTTGGCATGAAAGTAATCAAAATACAATGTCTGTTTTATTTTTTGGAACAAAATAACAAAAATATAGAACAAAAATAGATATTTTGATCAGTTGCTTTAAACAATAATGCTGCATGTCATCCGTTTTTATGTATATTGTTAAAACACAATTAAAGTATTAAATGGTTTTCAAAAAATGATAGTAACATTTTTTGTTATGAAGAATAAAAGTCATAGATAAAAAAAAAGTTGATGAAAAGATTTTTAGATTGTTTTCAAGTTAACTAACAAAATATTATTTTCGTTTATTAAGCAGGATCATTTAAAAGCAAAAACTCTCATTAACGGAGCTTTATCGTTTTTGTTAGAATGTCATTTAATTTTGTTAATTTTAATACTTTTAACTGTAGAAACTAAAGTTGAAAAAAAGAAACGTAGCGATGATGGTGATGAGGAAATATGCGATGACGATGATGAAGATTGCGAAGACGTAGTAGATATAGAAGAATGCAATGAAGATGATGATGATTGCGAAGATGGAGGAGAAACAGAAGAATGCGATGAAGATGATGATGATTGTCAGGAGGAAAAAAAGAAAAAAAAAAGTACATTTCTAATACTTTAGGCTCTTATATATTTCACCGACTTGATTTATATTAGAACTCAAAAATGTTTTGTTTACGTTAATTAATAGTTCTTTTTACATTAACTAGTAAAATATTTATTCTATTCTTTAAAGAGGATCTTTGAAAAGCAATTATTATAATTGACCTTGCTAAAACATTATAATTACGATGTAATATAATTTTTTAAATCTCATTTTTTCACAAGGGGAAACTAAATCTAAATTAAAGAAACGTAACGATGACGAAGAAGAGGAAGAATGCGAAGAAGATGACGAAGATTGCGAAGTTGAAGTAGATGTAGAAGAATGCAATGAAGATGATGATGATTGCGAGAATGGAGAAGAAACAGAAGAATGCGATGAAGAAGACGATGATTGCTATGATGAAGATAAGAAAAAGAAAAGTACTTTTTTTATTAGTTTAGATTTTCAATTCCTTTAGCGACTTGTTTTGTTTAAAAACCTCGCGTAAATATTATCTCAGTTGTTAAAGTAAAAAAAGTTTTAGGTTTTATATTTCATATCTTCAAAGTACCTACATTTTATATATTTATTGTTATCTAATAATTATTATTTTATAAATTTTTATTGACAATTTTTTTTAATACATTCTAATCAATTTTAATATTTTCTTTTTAACAGAGGAAAACAAACTGAAAAAAGAAAGCAAGAAGAAAAATTCAAAGAAAACAGTGTCAAAGAATGCAAAGAAAAGTTCTAAAAGATCAACGAATACAAAAAAGACCAGCCAAAAAAAGCAACAAAATAAAAGAAGCGCAATTCACAAAAACCTTAAAGCTAAAAGAAGCAAACTTTAAAAAGAAGCAAACTTTAAAAAAAAAGTCAACTTCTGATATTTTAATTATTGCATTTTTGTAAAAGTTACTGCGTGTTTTAATATTATGTTTATGTTTTATTGATTGTGTTTTTTGTAGTTCTACTTTATAAACCCAAGGTAGAGTTTTCAGTATACACAATATTTAAACTATTCGTTAAATGTGATTAACTTCAAGAAACACAATAAAAAATTCTTTATACGATCTCATCCTGATATTAAAAACATAGTTAAATACATTTAGGTAGTATACTGGAAAAGTTTCCCATCAAATTAATTTTTTTTTTTTCCAGCTTTCCATTTTTCTGAATATATCACTTCTTTTTCAACATGCAACTAACAGTGGCTATGAAATTATTGACGTTTTTTTAACTAACATTTGGTATGCATGTTTTACTTAACAATTTAAATAGATTTGATGTAAGTGTGATAAAATGAATGTTGTAGATAGGAATTAGGTGATCTTGGCAAATACATACTTAGGCACACTTTTACGCCAAGTTTAAAGTTTTTTTCGAAATGACAAAAAAGAAGAGAAGGTATCATAAGCTGTAAAAAATAATATATAATTTCAAAAAACTTTAATTGCTATCAATTTTTTTTAATATAAAATAATAAACTTAGTACTCAAATGGTTTAAGGTTAGTCGCTGTAAAAATAGGGCTTTATTCGTTTATGTGCGGAAGACGTGCTTTTTTATCGTTTATATCTTTCTTTTTTTTCTTTTTTTTTTTTCTTTTTTATTTTTTTTTATTCTTTATTGCAATCATTATTATAATCTCTATTATAACTTTATGTGAACAAAACGTAAGACATAAAAATGAAATAATCAATATTTACATAAAGATTTTGTTAAAAAATAGAAATATAACAATAAATATAACAAAAAAAATTAGGAATAAAGAATGCGGAAACTCGAAGAAGTCCTTGAGGTCTTGTCGTAAAGAACCGCTGGAATCAAAACGCTTTAAATGAATTGATTTTTGTTGATTTTTTGTAAATTTGCTTTTGAATTGGATCTATTTCGATAAATAGTTATATAAATCGTTGCAAAGAATAGTTAATATAACCGTTGCAAAGAATACTTAAGTATATTTATTGATGTGTTTGATGACGTCATAATGTGTTGATGAAGTTAATATAAATCGAATAGATTAAAAAATAATAATAATTGAATTGAACATTTCTTGCATTAAAATTGTAAAAAATAAAATCAGGGTGGGGTGGACATTCTTGCTAATAATTAGCTCTTGTTTTAATATAGTTTTTTTATATATTGTTTTTGCATCTTTACCTTACAAGCGATCATAGGTGGTATCACTGAATCCTAATCCAGCCCAACAATTGCTAAGCAGTTTTAGTTTTACCAGTACACATACATAAATACATACATACACAGATACGCATGCACATTTACACATAATTTATTATTTTTTTTTTATTTCTTTTTTTTATTTTTTTATTTTTTTTTTATTTCTTAGAAGATTTTCAAAACGCTGATTTAAAATATATTATACCTTATTGACTTTAAAAATTAGAAAAAAACTTGTCTGTGCTACCTTCAGTTCGTAACATAACAAACATTATCGATTCGTATTAGGATTAGGGTCAGTATATAATATGATAAATTCATTACATAACTTGTTTCTTAATTTATTACTTCATTGGTAAAAATCAAGTGATCGATGTTATGTTATTTGGTTATACTGATAAAAGTTATGTTAATGCTTTAAATAAGCTTAATATAATATTGTTATGTTAAAAAAAGGTGTGAAAGAATTACAGAGTCAACACCCCTATGTGTCTAATTAAAGTCGGGTGTTGCGGTGTTCATTAGGTTTTGTTTATTTACTTTTCTGTTCAACTTTAGTTTATTATCTTATTTTCACTTTTTTAAATGATTTAATGTTTTTAGCATACATTGCTCACTAGTAATTAAGCAGAAAAAAAAAAGATTTTTCTTTTCTTTTTAAATGAGGAATACACAGCGTTAACTTTTGGCTAAAAACCATCCAGCGTGAAAAGTTCACGCGACTAACATAACTGAGTGCCGTATCGACTGGAATAATTATACATCTACACTAAAATATGTAGTTAAATAAGCAAGGTTCATGGCTTTTTTGGTCAAAAAGTAGATGTTTTAATGTGTTAATATGTTAAAATATAAGTAATTTTTTTCTCGTTAAAGAATACCCAGTCCCAGTGAGCAAGATGTACGGCAAGTCGATATAAGCCGGTATGGGTGCAATATTGGCCCGCTAACGGCAAGCCGATGTAGGTTTAGCAATGGTTTGCTGCTGGCTAGCCGCCATAGTTAAAATGGCCTGCAAAATTTCATACACACACACCATATATTTGTTCTTTTTGTTGGGATTACGTTAACTAATGTGCTCAAAGCAGGTTATGTTCTATTAAGACTATCTTTTCTTTGAAATTTTAGTATCAAGCCGCTAATGGCCCGCTGTAGATTAGCTATGGGTACGCCGCCTTCGGCTTGCCAGCTCCTCGTAAAAAACGCACGACTTTAATCTGAAACTCGCTTTCGGTTACTGATCTTGTTGGTAAATGTTTATTGATTCTTCCTATAATACAAACATATTAAAATGCACATCGGGAAGAGATTGACACTAATTAGACAAAATAAATTGTACATTTATAGTAATAAATATTACAATAAATAGAACATTTTTTGCTATATATAATAATTAAATTAGTTTTTCTGATAATTTAAATACACGTTACACATTAATTACTCACATAAAATTATTTACTCTGCAGCGCTAAAAAAAAATAAGTTTGCGAAAAGCCTTTTTAGATAAAATGTTTTTTTCAACTCCAGCCGGCCCAGCTACAACTCCAATTAAACTGGAGTTTAATTGGAGTTGTAGCTGGACCTTTTTACAATTTCTCTCAGTGACTAGCCCTTTTTGAAATTTCTCTCAGTGACTCGCCACCATTGCTAGCAAGAACAATCACCTATATTACAACAAATTAACTGCATTTAATTTAAATTGTGTCATTTTGCATATAAATCAAATAAGAAAAAATATTAAATATTTAAAAATATATCATACTTTGATTAGGACTTTTCCGACTTTTTTTTTAAAAATTAAAACACTTACCAATTTGTTGAAAATCGACTTGTCTCGCTTTAACAAACTATCAAACACATCTAAATCTTTCATATTACCAATCGGAAGATTGTATTCCTCAATCATACTGTCATCATAATTTTTTTTATTATCCAGCAGTCTTTGGAGTAGCCGGGTGTTGAGTTCAGATTGACGCTGTAAATGGATGTTTTCACCTCTATTAATAAAGTGACCATTGTTTTATCCATTGTTCTTATAACAATACAATAAAAATAGTAAATAAAGTTTTATTACTATGCTAAAATTTATGGTTTTAAATCAGGGTTTTATAACAGGAAAGGTTACTTATCCTAAGTAAGCTACACTCAACGCGGCTAAAGAGCCTCTCCAGCCCCAATACAGGATTCAACATGATAATCAGCTTAACCTCATAATCAAGACATGTTGTTTTTAAGTATGTGACCTGAAGAATTAAATTTTACCTTTCATTGACAACATTGAGCATCGTGGTGACATATCAATTAATAGAACTTGGGCAAATCTTAAAATAAAACAACAAAAGCAATTAAACAACATTTGTTTGTGTGATTATGATGTCCTTGTCTCCTAATGTAAAGTAAGTTTAATTTGATGGTATATTAAGAATATAACATATATTTCCGTATATCAAGTGGCCTTTCAAGTTGCTTTCATTTATGTGCATTTGAGACAAGGGCATTGGAGACACCACTGTTTTGGTCCACAACTTTATTTGCTCTTCTAAAAATTCCAAAATATAACAATTAAAAACAATATAACAATCAAAAATTATATTTTCGCTATTAGAATTTTGTCTTGCATGGTAGCCAGAAAGTTTTTCCAATAAACTGTATTTTTAAAGAGCGCGTTAATAAACCAGACCAGAAAAAGTTGAAAAACTTAAACATCTTTTTTTTTTCCTTAAATGATTGACTGCCTACCAAAACCAAACCCTCAATCGATGAAGCAGCACTCCGTTACGAGTCAGGCTATTTGTCAGTCGATGTAGCAGCACTCCGTTGATTTTGTTAAAATACAATAAAATTAATGTACTTCCGCATTATTTGAAAAGCTTTGACATTTCGACAACAATAAGATACAGCTTAAGAGTTTAGGTAGCAAAATTGTACTCGCATGAGACCTTTTTTTACCATAAAAGTTTCTTTCGTGTCGAAGTAAGCGAGAAGAAACTTGTTTCGATGCCTGCACTTGGATATCATTTCACTTTTTTTGTTAATTAGATTTTTATTTTTGGAAAACAGAGTTGGGTATTTTTCATTTATACACAGTTTGCAAGACTTCATGGTTGGGTTGTAAGCATTGCACTGCTTAATTATTTTCCATTTAATAACTGGATTTAAATTTGCATCTTTCAGTTTCCAAAATTCTTTTGATAGTTCAGTGTCATTTTTGTATTTTAGAATGGTAAAAGATTTTATATGGTTGGCATATCTAATTTTGAATGGTGTTTCGCTTATACCGATGTATAGTTTGTTGACAGGAGTGGTAGTAGGATTAGTTGAACTTATTTTACATCAAAAAGTTGTATTTTTTCAAATAACCAAACTCTATTATTATTATTATTGATCTATTTTGTAAACACTTACATTATATTAATCACTCTCAAACGAACAAGAGACTTTTGTATCTTAATTTGGTACAATAAAACAACAATATATATACATATATATATATATATATATATATATATATATATATATATATATATATATATATATATATATATATATATACATTATATGTATATATATATATATATATATATATATATATATATATATATATATATATATATATATATATATATATATATATATATATATATATATATATATATATATATATATATATATATATATATATATATATATATATATATATATATATATATACATATAATATTGACCTTCACACACACACACACGAACGCACATAAATTTATTACAAGATAATAATTTAGCAAAAAAAAAGTTTTTTTTATAACTTCTTTTATTTTATATAGCATTTTATTTTATGCAATAGTTTAATGCAATGTTATAAGGTAATAAACAAACCATTAAGTTAAGCTAGATCGCTATATAACGTTATGTTAAGAATAGTTAGACAAGATTAAAGTAAAATTCACACAATAAGTAATGCTGAAAATAGCAAAAATTATATAAATGCGACTTTGAAAATGCAACAAACTTTAGTGAGGATTGATGTTGGACATAAAAGTTGACCTTGGAGATTAAAACCGAAATAGAAAATTTAAATCAGATATATTGACATCTTTCAACACATTTCACAACTCCTACTTCTAAAATTTAAAGCCTATAGAATAAATGACTAACTCAACAATTGGATTTTAATGTTACCTTTGAGATCAGCATTAGAGTATCATTGTTGGTGGTACATAGTCAGAATGATTAATAGTAAATAGTGAGGTCCCCCATTATTTACTTTAATGATATATAACAAAGATTTTTCTGACTTGCTTTTAGATGTTGTATCTGTATTTACAGGTGATACTAAGTTATACAGTTTGCTTTTTGATAGCTCACCATGCAATTACCTGCAATAAAGTATGGACATTATAGCAAACTGGGCAAAACTATGAAAACTAAGTTTTAATGTAAAAAAATGTAAAGTTATACCCTTAGGACAAATACAAAATTTTCCCTTTGGACTAACAATGCCCTTAGGACCAACAAATACAAAATTTATTTATATATTCGTTGATAAAAATCTCAATACTTCAATTAATATTAAAAACTCTCTCGTCAATAAAGGGATCTTCATTGACAATCTTTTGACTTTATTTTGTACGTACTAAGAATAACACCGCCAATAAAGTTGTAGGAATGATCAAAAGATCATTTGTCAATCTCAATATCTTGACATTTCGTACTTTGTTTATTTTCTTTGTTCGTCCTCACCTTTACTCTTGCAGCTCTGTCTACTATCCTAGACTTTAAAAAGATCAACCATTAATTTAAAATGTTCTAAGCTAGTCTAGTAAATTTGTTTTTGGCAAGACTTGGCTCACTTACAACCAAAGACCACTGAGACTAAATTTAATTAGCATGAGCTATCGTTTCTTATGTAATGACATGGCAGAAACTTACAAATGCATTCACAATCTTTATAATTGTAGTTGCAACCCTTTTGTTTTCTTATACAATACCATTCAGTATTTTATCTATCAACACCTGTGTCAGAATGATGTCATCTGCACAGCCATTATATTTATTATTGTAATTACAAACCATTAAGTAGTTAATCTGAGTTGTAATAGCATGCGTGTTAATATAACCACTTCTTAATATTAATATATAATTATGTATTTAGTTAGTATTTATTCCTCCATTATGACTAACTCCAACTTAACAACATGTGATCATGGTTATAAATTGAAAAAAATGTTTTGTAAGACAGATGTCCGGAAAAAACTTTTCTAAAATGAAATTCACAAATTTGTAGAATAGTCTACCATCTGAAATAGTGTTCAACATCTGTCACGACATTAAAAAAATAAGGTTATTTGTAAAAATAAGGTTATTTGTAAAGTTTCTAAATCTTATATTTTTCTTGATTTATATAATTTTATATAGATTAGTTTATATTTATGTGTTGTTTATGTTTATGCGTTTAGGTTATATGGGTTTATATTTTGTAAGTGTGTAAATATCATTTATGTGTTTGTAAATATCTTTTCAAATTGTTGTGACTTGGCTTAATTTACAGAAAGAGTGTTGATTTTGCTAGCCAAGTGATGTACTTTGCTATAAAGTGATTTGGCTTTGTAGGGACCAAGATTGTTGTCCGCGCCAGTTAAGAGGTGTAGTGCAGTGCATCACTTAACTGGTGTGTACACGCCAAACAGTAACAGTACTGTTATAATGAAATACATAAATCTGTTTGTAGTTAGTGTAGTCATAAAAAGTGTTTAAAAAAATTGTTGACAGAATGTGTTTATAAGAAATGTTGAAAGATATATAGTTTTTTAATATCTATAATAATTTTCTTAATATTTATAATTTTAAGTACCTTTTATTGAACAAATATTATACTTCATTAAATAACTTTTATACTGTTAATTTTTGAGTAAATTATATATATATATATATATATATATATATATATATATATATATATATATATATATATATATATATATATATATATATATATATATATATATATATATATATATATATATATATATATATATATATATATATATATATATATATATATATATATATATATATATATATGCAAATATGGGCCTTAACCACCTTACATATGTACCAGTGTTTTTCTACTTTTTTAAAATTTATCAATAGCTTCAACCCAGCGGAAACAGTATGTCTAAAGGAAGTCGGACGTCAAATTAGATTTTCATGGTTTCAATTTACATTAAAAAAGCATGTAGAGCCGCTTTTGATTAATTCTAGTACGGCATTCATTTTTTATACACTTTAATTGCACGTCTAATGTCCCCGGTCGTTTAAAGGACGTCCATAATTACTTTGGACGTCCATAAGACGTCGTATAGACGTTTTACAGACGTCTGTGCCCGTTGAAAGCAAGAGTACATTTATTAGACCATAAAACTATTCTATGCAAAGTTTGCATGTCTTCCTGAAAGAAAGATGCTTGTCTTCCTGGTATCATCTTGTTTTAATTAATTATTTTTTTTACGTTGTGAAACATAAGGTAGAGTGAGTTATAGTTAATGAGTTTTTCAAACAAGTGTTGGTGTAAAATATTTTTCCACTTTTTTTTAAGCTCATGTTAGCAAAATAATAAAGCTTCGTGTTAGCAAAATAATAAAAATACTCGTATTATATATAATATACACAATATAAAAATACAATTAACAAGTCAAATTCGCAGAGTGTTTGGTATAACTAATTTTTACATTAAACCGATGCTTTTTTGATTTTCTGTTGAGAAAGTTCTTGAAAACATTTTTTAACGATGAGATTACAGTTGAGAACGGTTAAACGTTTCATTCATTTATTACACGGTTTGTGAATAATTTGAACTGTTAAGCGCAGTTAAACTATACGACTACCACCTCCGTTTTCCAGACAATGATGGTGGTCGTGTAGATTGTAGTGTAAAGCAGAGATTCATTTATATTTATAAATTTAGGATGTCAATTTTTTCAAAACTGTGTTTTACTTTATACTGTTGTGTAAGATCTGCACGTTTTTTTTTTAGTTTTTAGAGAATCTAACTCAAGAATGTTGAGTCTTTCCCGGTGTGAAAAAGACAGCTTGATAATACAAGAAGTGTTTAAAACGCCTAAACTACGTATTACTACGTACTTGAACGTTTTAAACGCGTCTTTTAACCTTAGGTAGGGACTAGCATGCTATTCGCTAGCTAGTTGCTTGCTCATTTCATCCTGGGTTCTTTGATGAATTTTAGTTTTTCGGACGTGTCAAATAATATTGCGTTTGGGCTCAAGTTTTTTCTTGGCCATACCAGGTGTGGTCTAACGTAAGTAGTAAAGTTCTAAAGAAGCAAGCTTCTGCGTCTAAACAATTTTTTTTCAGCGTCAAAAAGAAACTCAATGCATTATGTTTCTTCTTGACGCTGCAAATTTGATTTTTTTTATTGATTTTAAGGTTGTATGATACTATTTTTTGAAACTAATGTAATTTCATTCATCAGGGATGGATCAAGTGGTTTTTTGATTGATTTCATTAGGGTTGGAGGTTTTTTTTGTATTTTAGTTACTAAACTCTTATATAAGTTCTAAAAATTGAACCTTTGAATGTTCATTTCTCTGAAATATAAAAAGGTTTTGACAAAAAATAAGTTTGCCAACGGTGTTACCCTCATAAAGTTACTCAGCTTTATGTAATCTGACAAAAAGTTTTTGCTACAAAAAAAATGTTTATGCTAAAAAAAAAAAAATATTTTTTTGCTTCAAAAATAATTTGTTTGCTTCAAAAAAAATTTTTTTGATACATAAAAAGTTAACTTAACCACGTTAACTTACCATGCGCCATAAAAGTAATTTTAAACTGATTTTCCTCAATTCGTCGCGTTTTTCTAACTAAAGTGTTAGTTAAGGTTAGGAAATGATTAATTTTACAATTCTAAAAATTGTGCTATGTTTTAAAAAAGATCCTATTTTTTTCTTAAAAAAAACCCTTTTTTCCTTGTTAATATATAAAGTCCCCTCCAAAAAAAATAAAGAAACATAACTTTCAATGTGTAATATTAAATAAAAAACTGAAATTTCTTTAGGACGTTCTTATTTGATTGCAAAAGTCTTAACATTCAAACTATTGAAATTAAAAAAATCGGATGAAACTTATTATTAGCCGAATCGTGTGAAGTAATGAGAAGGTAATTATTTCTTTGTACAAAAAAATGAAAGTTTATATCAAAATTAACTGAAATTAGTCCGTAAGAAGCTTTAGTTCTTTTAATTTTAATCCATTAAACGCTAGTCGGTATATTTTAATGTTTAACTGTAAAAGCTATTTTTTTTCAAATCACAATAGAAAAAAACAAAACTAAAAATTAGTAAATTAAGTTAAAATATTAAATTGAATTTAAGAATTATTAAAATAATAGTTGCCATTTACGTCAATATATATTTTTTAAATCTATTCTATAATACATCTATAAATGACCTAGTTGTTTCTAAGAAACCAAAAACACATAAATAGCATGGTATTTTACAAAGCATCATTTCATTTTGGTATTTTACAAAGTATCATTGCATTTATTTGTGTTACATTCAATATTCAGGTATGAATTTTTTATGTTTTTTATTTGTATTTACTTAGTATCGTGAAATTTCACAAGTTTCCGTTGAACTTGTAGATTGTCTATTTCTTTTTAGAGTGAACTTTATTCTGATAAGTAGTAGGTAGCAGCAGAAATGAAGCTAGTCCTTTTGGTTTTAATGATGTTAGTTTGCGTGTACAGCATGGGTATTGATAGATATGCAACCTCACTAGTAAGAGCCAGAAGAAATGTTGCAGGTAAAACATGTCTGCCTAATAATTTAACTGACTAATCTTTACTTTAGTTAAAAGAGTGACATCAATTTACTTTACTTTCTACATTCTGTTTTCAAGTAATCAGTTTTATTCTGCTGCAAAGAGCAAAGATATATATTAATAGAATGTAATTAACTGAGACAACGTCATGTCTGTTAAATGAAAGAATGTAAAACTGCTTTTATTTTTAATGCACAACATAATGCACTGATATATTCTTTGTAACTTTAAGTTTCGTTGTTAGAATATCTTGCATAAAATTACTTGACCAATCAACAATGTCTGTTTTATAGTTGGAACAAACTAAGAAAAATATAACATTAAGTAGATATTTTGATCAGGAGTTCAAAACAATTACGCTAAATGTTATTCGTTAGTATGTATTTTGTTAAATGCAAATGATGTATTGGATGGTTTTTTTCAAACTATTGTTATATCAAAAATAATGTATTATAAAACGTTTATGGAAATTAGTTTTCAACTTGACTGATAAAAGATTAACTTTATTCTTCAAACAGGATCATTCAGAACTAAAAACTATTTTTTTTACCTTTTGATTACAAAGTAATATAATTTTTTTAATATTATCTTTTTTAACAATAGAAACTAAAACTGAATTAAAGAAACGCAACGATGACGATAATAAGGAAGAATGCAATGAAGATGACGAAAATTGCGATGAATGCGGGGAAGATGGTGAAGGTTGCAATGATTGCGGGGAAGATGGCGAAGGTTGCGAAGATGAAGATAAAAAAAAAAAGTACGTTGTTAATAGTTTGCGTTTTTATAACTTCATATATAAACTCAATAATAACTTCATGTATTTATTTTTAACGTTAAAAAATAATAATTTTTATATTAACTAATAAACTTTTGATTCTATTCTTAAAACAGAATCTATAAGAAGCAAACACTATCATTAACGTACTTTTTATGCTTTGACAATGATGTCATGTAAATTTTTTAATCTTATTTTTTTCGAAAGGGGTCACTAAAAGTGTTATAAAGAAACGTAACGATGACGACTATGAGGAAGAATGCAATGAAGATGACGAAAATTGCGATGAGTGCGGGGAAGATGGTGAAGGTTGCGATGAATGTGGGGAAGATGGTGAAGGTTGCGATGAATGTGGGGAAGATGGTGAAGGTTGCGATGAATGTGGGGAAGATGGTGAAGGTTGCGATGAATGTGGGGAAGATGGTGAAGATTGCGAGTATGTAGATTAAAAAAAAAAGTACTTGTTTTAAAATTTATTTTTTAATTATTTTATAAATTTTCTTTTATTTAACAACTTCACATAATTATTAATCAATTTTTGAGCAACAAAAACACTTTACTACTAAACCTAATATCTTTATAGCACGTAGTTTTTGAGATTTTTATCATATAACTGATTTTATAACATTTGAATAAATCTTCATAATATCTTTTTAACAGAGGAAAACAAAGTGAAGAAAGAAGAAAGTAAGAAGAAAAATTCAAAGAAAACAGTGTCAAAGCATGCCAAGAAAAATTCTAAAAGATCATGGATTCTAAAAAAGAACAGCAAGAAAAATTCTAAAAGATCAATGACTCCAAAAAAGAATAGCCATAAAAAGCAACACACTTAACGGAGCGCAGTTCACAAAAATCTTAAAATTAAAAAAAGCAAATTTTGATAAAAAGCTCAACATCTAAACTTTTTATAATTGTAACTTTTTATATATCAGTGCGTTTATTGATATCATGTTTTTTTTTTATAACAATTGAGTTTTTTTATTGTTGTACAACGTCAGAATAAATGAGTTTGCAATATATCCAGTACTTAAATCATTCGGTAAAATGTGACTAATTATAAAAACGCAAATAAATTAAATGGTTACTTACTTTAAACCTTTTTACTTTTTCCCAACTAACACTTGAGATCAATATAATATTATTGTGATATCAAAATCATATAAAAAAAATTGCCTCACTATGATCTCATAAAAACGACAGAAGTAAAATTAAAATATATTTAAAATCTAATAGTATCAATGTAGTTGAAATTAATAAACTAACGTATAAAAATCTATTGGATACAACGATTTTGTTAAAACCTAAAAAAAGTTTAAGACATGATGATATCAGTAGTCGCGTCATCATAAAGTTAATAAAATATATAACTATTCCACTATTGCACATTTTTAATCTATATTTAAAACAAGAAGTTTGTCCTGATAAACTTAAAAATGCAAAAGCTGAACCAATTTTGAAATCTGGTGATGTTTCAAACGTTGTAAACTATAAACGTCGCAAAAATATACAGTTGGAATCGAAATAGATCTCAGTGAAGCTAATAAGACTGTTGACCATTACACTCTTCTATCTAAACTAAAAATTATAAAATAAAAAACTCCATTATTGATTGATTAAAAGTTACTTACCTATAGAACACAATATATGTCGAATAACAATCAAAAATCAAAATAAATGACAGTCTCATGCGGTGTTTTTTAAAGATCAATACTCGGATAACTTTTTTTTCTTGTTTATATAAACAACTTACATTAAACTTTTATTATTTTAACTTAAATTTTATTTCTCAATTATACAAACTTGTTTAACTTTAATAATAACATCGATTTATTATTTGTCAATAAGCAACTCACAAATTTAACTGAATAGTTGAAGACGAATAAACTACACTTAATTAGAAGTATAACCAATAGTACTCTTTTTTTATTGGCTCTACAAAAAAAAAATATTTCTTTCAAACTTTTTCATCTATGTATTGATTATTCTGATATAAAGAGAGAGCATTTTTAGTGGATCAATTTTTGACAAAAATCTTTTAAGGCGTGAACACGCAAGTATAATAGAAAACAAAATATCAAAAAAATTGGCTTATTAAATAAAGCTAAAAGACATTTTTAAGCAAAATTGTTTGAAAAACATTTTTTTTTTTTATTCACAGCTACTTTAGTTATGGGATCATTGCTTGATTCAGTAACAACACAACCTAAAAAAAAAAACTACTCGGTAAATAAAAATATTCTGTACGCAGTGACGCATTAGGCGGGGGGCCATAGGGTTTTGGCCCTAGGCGTCAAAATTTTTGTAATTTTTCTTCTATGCTATGCTTTAAACTATTATTAATATTAGATCAAAATGACTTTGTGACTATGTGAGTATTGACTACTGAGTACCACGATACTATGGTTGCCCAACGAACTATGCTATGTTTGTTCCTATTACATGATTATTGAATAGTGTTGATAGAACATTGCCCCTTTGACTTCGGCAAGCCACGATCGTGGTTTTCCTGTTGAAGTGCGGCAAGCAAAAATGCTTTTAAATGTGGTATTACAAATACGACTTTTATCACAGAAATATCGTGTTTTTTATAATATAATTGATACCACTGGGTAGTACACATATTTTTCTTTCTTTTGATATATTATTTGAATATGTTTTTCTGTGAAAATGATTAATAACAAAAACACGTCCAAGCATGAAGAATACTCTACTAGCGAAGAAAATAATAGCAGGAGTGATAATAGTTTTTTTGATGAAGAAGCAAGTTTATTTAGATGAAGAAACAAGTTTATTTATATGTTATTTTAATTTTAACTTTATGTTTATAACATATAATTTATATTCTGTAATGATAAAGTTGTATATAAACATATAAGTTTATTTAAACGTATAGTTGTATATAAACATATAGTTGTACAGAAACATATAGTTGTATATAAACATATAGCTGTATATAAACATATAGTTATATATAAACATATAGTTTTATACAAATATATAGTTGTATATAAATATTTAGTTGTATATAAACATGAAAGAAACACATAGTAACATGTTCATCAAAAGCAAATGCAATAATGGAGTTGATAAGTAATATTTTTGTCCATTTAGAATCATCTTGTCAAGCAATTATACACAACTTTTGTTAGACCACGGATTGAATTTGTAGCACAAGGTTGGTCAACAAACAACAAAGGCAACATCGGCAAAATAGAAAACGTGCAGCACAGAATGACAAGGATGGCAAAAAAACATTAGAAGTCTGCAGTACCAATACAGTATACAGAATTTAATTTTACAACATTTTCAGAAAGAAGACAAAGAGGGGATCTTATCCAAGTATCTAAATTTTCAATAAAATCAAAAAAATAGAACTTTTAAACAAACAAACTTTCTTAAAATCACACAGAGGTCACAATAAGAATTACAGTAGAGAACAAACCAAGTTTGAGCCAAGACACGAATGCCAAGACATAAACAGAACTACAAATTTATGGAACGTATTACTATCAGAAGTTGTCAGTTCAACAAACGTAAATAATTATTACGTTTATTATAACTACTACTACTACTACTACTATTACTACTACTACTACTACTACTACTACTACTTCTACTACTACTACTACTACTACTACTACTACTACTACTACTACTACTACTACTACTACTACTACTACTACTACTACTACTACTACTACTACTACTACTACTACTACTACTACTACTACTACTACTACTACTACTACTACTGCTACTACTACTACTACTACTACTACTACTACTACTACTACTACTACTGCTGCTACTACTACTACTACTACTACTACTACTACTACTGCTACTATTACTACTACTACTTCTACAATATAATTGTATAAAAAACAAATAGTTATATTTAAACATTTAGTTGTATATAAACATTTAGTTGTATATAAACGTTACGTTGTTCATAAACATTTAGTTAATATAATATAAAATATTAGATCTAAAAATTGTTTTCAAATATAAATTCTAAAATTTTGAACGGTGAGTTTATTGTTTATTTTCTATATCTATATTTAATGAATAATTATTAAAGATTAACACTTTTAATGATGCAAATTATAATTAGTAACTATTGTTAGATTTATACTTATTATATATTTTAATTATTTACATTGCTTGATGTTTATTATTATTAATTCTTATTAATATTTTAAATGATTTATTGCTTTACATTATTTGGTTTATTGATACAACATGCCCGGTAGAAAAAAGCTTTACGGGGCTGAGATTTGCAAAAGAGCAAAAGTTGAGACTGATAAAACAACTAATGCAGTTTAGAATACACTAAAACTAAGTATATACTTTGATATCATTTTTAAAGAAAGTTTATCAAGCACAACAAGTACGATTTACGCATATTATTATTTTGATGACATATTAACATTGGTTATTTACTTATTTGCAGTATAATACTCAATCAATAAAATTTTTCCCTCAAAAAATAAAAACAAAAAATTAGTTTGTCAAGCTGAAAATGAATTCATATATACTTTATTTATTAACCCCTGGGTAAATATTTACAAACTACTAAAGTGAGTACATTATTTTAAATGTGTTGTAAATTAAATGTTAATTTTGTACAGGCCTAATTATATATTCTAGATTTTCTATTTTATGAAAAATGATCCAGACAAGTGGTCAATAAATGATGAGACTTATAAACTCTTTTCAATACAAAGGATTTAGTCAAAATATTGATATATCACAATTCGTAATGACTTTTTAAAATCTTTATAATAACACAGTTTTGAAAAAATCATTAGGATTATCAACAAGATTACATCTTTGGTGTGTTCGGAAAGCTAACAAATAATTTTTTGAAATCCATGCCGTTGATTTGAAGAGACTACTTCTTTTTCCAAAGGTGGGTTTTTAAATTAGAGAAAAGCTTATTAAAAAATAACCATGCACCAAAATTTTAAACATCATAAATCCTGAGTAACTAACGAAAAATAGAAAAAAAAATGAATAATATAAGCAGACAACTTATAGAACAGATTGAAACAGAAACAGTGATTTAAAAGGTTGTATGAATGAGAGTTACAGCTCAAGTAAAAACTCTGTCATTACGTGGAATTTAATTTAGAGGAAGAAACGATCATTTTGGATTAACTGAAAACGGAAAGTATATGATGTGTCTAGAACTTCTTCCTGAATTCGATCCATTTTTAGCCAAACATAGTAAAAAACATGGAAATAAAGGAAAAAGTTATATTTATCATCTGAAATTTATGAAAAATTCATTAAAATAATGACTAGTCTAGATGTATAACAAATAATATAAGAAATCAAAGAAAGTAAATACTTTTTAATTAAAATAGATTTCACGTCTGACATAGCACAGGTTGACCAATTATCTTTTATATTTTGATATGTCGAACACGGATTACCCGTAGAAATATATTTATGTTTTCATTCAAATTTTGGACATGATGCCAAAAAATTAGCTGATGCATTATTTTTTGTACTTGAATCTCGTGAACCTAGCACAAGTGATTGCGTTGGACTGTCTTATGATAATGCAGCAAATACGGCAGGTGCTTATTCGGGACTTTAGGTGCGTATCAAAAATCTGTCCATTAGCTCAATTTATTCCATGTTCTGCAAATTCTCTGATTTTAGTTGGAAAAGTTGCAGTTAACTCTTGTAAAAGTGCAGTTGACTTCATCTGTCTATTAGAAAGCCTATGCAATTTTTTTTGTATTTTAACTCATCGATGGGAAGAATTAAAAAATAATTGTACTAAACCAGAAAATGTGTCATTAAAAAGTCTTTCTGATACGACCTGGTCAACGAGATACAAAACATGTATATTTCTCAATAAAAATTACAATGAAATAATATTGACATTAACTGATAATTATAATGGTTTAATTGAGAAGCCTTCTATAAAGGGTGAATCTTAAGGTTAACTAACTAAATTAAATAGCTTAGAAGCTGCTATAATGGTTCGTATATGAATATAT